CCCCCCTTGGTTGCTGCTGATCCTGCATAATGCATGGGCATAATATGACTTTGACACCCCCCCGCCCAACGCCTACGCATTTTCCATGAATATGCTAAATCCCTCTTCACATGCACATTCTTTTTGTTAAGGCGCTCTTCAACCCCCAATGCAGCTTATATATAAGCTCCTAGTTTGGTAGTGTCTCATTCTTCACCTGAAGACGGCTGCTTGCGTTGTAGCCGAAACGTCGTGAGAATTGTTTTATTATGTTTTATTTTTATTATTTTATTACTTCCCTTCTACGTGACTTTACCGAAAGAAACAAGAAGATGAATCCCTGCAGTCACGAAAGCTTTAAATCGAAAAATTTTCACTTCTCGTCAATAGCCATTTTGTACGAATAAAGAATATAGTTGCGAATAATAAATCACCACATATTTGACGAACTTTTGAGCCTCCTCAACTCAAACCAGACAAGAGAGAAGATCTCGTTTATACCGCATCATTCCATCGCCTCTCCAGCCCGCGCTGCGCCCGTTTAGCCCCCCTTCTATCCGGCCAAAGCAGAAGCTGCTAGGGCATGCGGTGGCCGGGCATGCGGTGGCCGGGCATGCGGTGGCCGGGCATGCGGTGGCCGGGCATGCGGTGACTGGGCAGGCGGTGGCTGGGCAGGCGGTGGGAGGGCATGCGGTGGCTGGGCAGGCGGTGGCTGGGCATGCGGTGGCTGGGTATGCGGTGACTGGGCAGGCGGTGGCTGGGCATGCGGTGGCTGGGCAGGCGGTGGCTGGGCATGCGGTGGCTGGGCATGCGGTGGCTGGGCATGCGGTGGGAGGGCATGCGGTGGCTGGGCATGCGGTGCCTGGGCATGCGGTGGCTGGGCATGCGGTGGCTGGGCATGCGGTGGCTGGGCATGCGGTGGCTGGGCATGCGGTGCCTGGGCATGCGGTGGCTGGGCATGCGGTGGCTGGGCATGCGGGCTACACGACCCAGCCAACGCAGCATCCCTCGCCTTGCAGCAAGAGCTCATCGGATGGAACGGTGTCCAGATTTTTGCAAGGATCTGCGAGCTCCACACGCAATCCACACAGACACACACAAAGATCCCCCGTGTAGCCTGTAACAGACTGTAGGGGCAAGTGCTGTTAGCGAGCACCTATGAAGGCCGGAACGGTACACGAGGGGGTGGGTGGCCAGCACCACGCCCGACCGCCTTTGTCTCCCTAGTGGCGATGTTTACACACCGCACCAGGTACTCATTTAAGGCTGAGTCGACCTAGGGGAGGCCCAGGACCGGTTCAGATAATCGTCACTGGTGTTAGCCGTGAGCGGGAATCGAACCCGGGTCGCCAGGTTCATAGCGCAGCGCGCTAACCGCTACACTACCGCTCCACATGACACTCTCACACACACACACAGACATACTTTCTGACACTCTCACACACACACACAGACACACTTTCTGACACTCACACACACAGACATACTTTCTGACACTCACACACACACACTGACACACACACTGACACACACACACACAGACATACTTTCTGACACTCTCACACACACACACACTTTCTGACACTCACACACACAGACATACTTTCTGACACTCTCACACATACACTGACACACACACTGACACACACACACGCACAGTGCATATTTTACGCATCAGAGCACACGGTGCCACCACTGCCGTGCGAAGAGAGAGAGAGGTGGGGGGGGGAGCGAGATCCAGGGGGAGGCGATGCTTGTGAAGTGTGCAGGAAGGGTGCACGAGGGAGAGAAGAGAGCCATGCAACAATTACCCTCCTCCATCCCCCGCGATTCGATCAAGCAATCGATTACTAGTATCATCATCATTATCGTCGTCGTTGTTAAAATATTCATTGTGGTGACTTTAACGAGAAGGATTTCGCAGGGAATGTTATATGTGTTTAAATTGACATTTGATATGGGCCACGTTACGATTCTGGCCAAATTCCTAATTTGTGTCGTGAAAACCTGCACCACCCGACACGACTAACATATTCAACTAAACATTGTTTTTGTATTTGACCAGGTCAGGCCCACTGAGCTGTACAGTTCTGTTCAGAAGCGATCTGGCTATCACAAATGATAGTCCAACGAAGTGGGCTTATCATGGTGTGGACATTTACAGCAGCCGAATACCCCTGAACGCGTGGTGACATCGATTCTAAAATGTAGAGGGGAGAAAAGTTCACACGACCACGGCAAGAGAGATACCGCAACCTCCAAATATACAGCAGCAGGCGTCAGGGTCGGGGTCGAACCCAGGACCTCCTGCATACCAGGCGAGGGAGTTAACATCTCCTAGTCACCGTGATGATGATGAGAGAGAGACACCGCAACCTCCAAATATACAGCAGCAGGTGCCAGGGTCGGGGTCGAACCCAGGACCTCCTGTACACCAGGCGAAGGAGTTAACATCTCCTAGCCACCGCGATGATGATGAGAGAGATACACCACAACCTCCAAATATACAGCAGGAGGCGCCAGGGTCGGGGTCGAACCCAGGACCTCCTGTATACCAGGCGAGGTAGTTAACATCTCCTAGTCACCGTGGCGCACTTGACCAAATCGTCGATTTCTATTCGATCGGCTCACTCACCGGAGGGGGACAGATGAGCGGGGAATTTTCACGAAACCAAAGTTAAACGAAACAGCCTCCTCCTCGGATGTCGGGATTGTGAATTCCTCAACGTCGTTCTGACTTCCCGGAGCTTGATTGACCACCTGATGGCGCTAGGAGTAAGTCAACATCGAGACGTCGATGTTGACTTACTCGGTTATTATTGTGTCTTGGACTGTTGTTTGTTGTGGTTTTGCTGCCTTGCCCAAATGTGGCATTTGGTGTTGACAGATCTGTAAGAATGTTTGCAAGAGGACATTTTGCACGGTACTTCCACGCTTTATTAAGCGTTGATTTTTTTTATTGACCTGCTTAACTTTCCTCTATCTTACCCTTATATCATTAATTGTATTTTTTGTTGATGTACCTTGCTGAGCCCTAATCCCTGGCTGCACATCTGTGACAAAGAGATTTATACCTTCCTCCAGTCCACATGAAGATTCTGATCAGGGACTCCTCTACTTACGAACGAGGTAGGTTCCAGAGGTCTGTTCGTAAGAAGATTTGTTCGTAAGTCCAACTTTACTCTTGTCGATTCCAAACGTGTTGTACGGCATGTACACTAAACACGGGGCATGACTTTAAACGTTGTATAATCTCCTGTAGATGTATATGCCGCTGGTTCTTCATGTTCTGCAGATGTAGATGCCGCTGGTTCTTCACGTTCTGCAGATGTAGATGCCGCTGGTTCTTCACGTTCTGCAGATGTAGATGCCACTGGTTCTTCATGTTCTGCAGATGTAGATGCCGCTGGTTCTTCACGTTCTGCAGATGTAGATGCCGCTGGTTTTTCACGTTCTGCAGATGTAGATGCCACTGGTTCTTCACGTTCTGCAGGTGTAGATGCCGCTGGTTCTTCACGTTCTGCAGATGTAGATGCCGCTGGTTCTTCACGTTCTGCAGATGTAGATGCCACTGGTTCTTCACGTTCTGCAGATGTAGATGCCACTGGTTCTTCACGTTCTGCAATGTAGATGCCACTGGTTCTTCACGTTCTGCAGATGTAGATGCCACTGGTTCTTCACGTTCTGCAGATGTAGATGCCACTGGTTCTTCACGTTCTGCAGATGTAGATGCCACTGGTTCTTCACGTTCTGCAATGTAGATGCCACTGGTTCTTCACGTTCTGCAGATGTAGATGCCACTGGTTCTTCACGTTCTGCAGATGTAGATGCCACTGGTTCTTCACGTTCTGCAGATGTAGATGCCACTGGTTCTTCACGTTCTGCAGATGTAGATGCCACTAGTTCTTCACGTTCTGCAGATGTAGATGCCACTTGTTCTTCACGTTCTGTAGATGTAGATGACACCACTGTCATCTATTGTGCGGCGGTTGAACTTACGACTCTCGGTCCGAACAGGTTTGTTCGTATCTCTGAAAGTTCGTAAGTCGAATGCTCGTAAATCGAAGAGTCCCTGTATTCTGAAATCTAAGAATTGTTCTTCCGCTCACCGGGTGAACGAAGCTGGGACGAAAGTAATTCGGTAATTCGGCCGCGTGGTTAAACTCGTGCACGCCACGTGACAATTTAACTTGGTTTTGGCTGGGTCGGGTGGCGGAGGGATTCTGAGCGACACAAATTTGGTCGCTTCATGAATTCAATGTCTTGGTGTTGCGTGTTGTCCTTCCACCGCACCTCCGATTAGCACGGTTGGCTACGTACCGTGCGAAAAAGTTCAACATGCATACACAAATACGTACATACACAAATACGTACATACACAAATACGTACATACACAAACACGTACATACACAAATACGTACATACACAAATACGTACATACACAAATACGTACATACACAAATACGTACATACACAAATACGTACATACACAAATACATGCATACACAAATACGTACATACACAAATACGACCTCTGGTGGCTGTGTGAGTTACGCGAAGCCATACAAAATAATAAAACAATTTTGGCGATGCTGCTGCGTTGGCAATGGGTGCACAATCACAAATAACAACAACAACACTCCACACATTCGTAAACACACACCGTAGCCTTCAAGAGAACAAATAATAATAGCCAACGTTTCGGACACTGGTCCTTCTATAACAGCACATAAAGAGAGGGACCATTTCCAGAAATGTCGCTTTTCTTACGTATTTTGTAAAGCCCACGGTGTTATTGACGCATGTGTTGAGTTTTTTTTAACATATGACATTTTTTTGTTATTATCTTATAAATCATAACACATTTCGCAGTGCCATATCGGAGAAGTGAAAGCGGTTGAGGCACATATTTCTACACAAAAATTCCCACCTACCCGAAAGATCCCTCCCTCCCATCCACACCCACCCCTCCCACCTCACCTCCCATCTCACTCTCTGCCTCTCAGTCGTAAGTGTAATATTTACAAGCGGGTTGCTGCTGATGCCGCTACCACCACTACCGCCACAAGCGTTTATTTCATTTTTTTTAGGAAAAGGAGACATCATCCCCGCGCTACAAAACGGTAAAGTATGAAAGTCTGAGCGACACGTGTACGTGGTGTGGACATTTTATCTGGTTGAGATGCGTACCCCCCCCCTCCTCCTCCATCCCTCCCACTCCCTCCTCCCTCCCTCCCACCGTCCCACCTCCTCCTTCGTCCCTCCCTCCCACCCCTCCTCCCTCCCTCCCTCCACCCCTCCCACCCCCTCCTCTCTCCCACCTCCTCCTCTATCCATCTCTCCCTCCATCGCTCCCACCCCCTCCCTACGTCCCTCCCTCCCCGTCCCCCGCTGCAGACTCAGAAGGGCTGATCCCCTGGTCCTGACGACGAGGACAGCTGTGAATCGCTCTCTCGACTTGTTGGTTTGGTGGTTCAAGTTCCACAGGTGAGTCGGGGGCGACGGAGGGGAGGGGGGGGGTGGGGGGCGACTCGCAACCCACGTGGTTAGGGCGCAGGTGATGCAGTGATAGGTGCTCGCTAACACCGCGGCGTGGGTGGGAAGAGCGAGAGACGCGGGCCTCCGTGCCCAGCGAAAAACTCGCACAGGTGGTGGGTCACGCGACAGTGAACACGGTGGTGGTGGAGAAGGAGCCGAGTGTTGATGGGACCGAGTGTTGATGGGACCGAGTGTTGATGGGACCGAGTGTTGATGGGTCCGAGTGTTGATGGGTCCGAGTGTTGATGGGTCCGAGTGTTGATGGGACCGAGTGTTGATGGGTCCGAGTGTTGATGGGACCGAGTGTTGATGGGACCGAGTGTTGATGGGTCCGAGTGTTGATGGGACCGAGTGTTGATGGGACCGAGTGTTGATGGGACCGAGTGTTGATGGGACCGAGTGTTGACGGGACCGAGTGTTGATGGGACCGAATGTTGATGGGTCCGAGTGTTGATGGGACCGAGTGTTGATGGGACCGAGTGTTGATGGGACCGAGTGTTGATGGGACCGAGTGTTGATGGGTCCGAGTGTTGATGGGACCGAATGTTGATGGGTCCGAGTGTTGATGGGACCGAGTGTTGATGGGACCGAGTGTTGATGGGACCGAGTGTTGATGGGTCCGAGTGTTGATGGGTCCGAGTGTTGATGGGACCGAGTGTTGATGGGACCGAGTGTTGATGGGTCCGAGTGTTGATGGGACCGAGTGTTGATGGGACCGAGTGTTGATGGGACCGAGTGTTGATGGGTCCGAGTGTTGATGGGACCGAGTGTTGATGGGACCGAGTGTTGATGGGACCGAGTGTTGATGGGTCCGAGTGTTGATGGGTCCGAGTGTTGATGGGACCGAGTGTTGATGGGACCGAGTGTTGATGGGACCGAGTGTTGATGGGTCCGAGTGTTGATGGGTCCGAGTGTTGATGGGACCGAGTGTTGATGGGTCCGAGTGTTGATGGGACCGAGTGTTGATGGGACCGAGTGTTGATGGGTCCGAGTGTTGATGGGACCGAGTGTTGATGGAGCTGAGTGTTGAGGGACCGAGTGTTGATGGGACCGAGTGTTGATGGGACCGAGTGTTGATGGGTCCGAGTGTTCACCGGCCCGAGTGTTGATGGGACCGAGTGTTGATGGAGCTGAGTGTTTATGGAGCCGAGTGTTGATGGGTCCGAGTGTTGATGGGACCGAGTGTTGATGGGTCCGAGTGTTGATGGAACCGAGTGTTGACAGGTCCGAGTGTTAGTGGGTCCGAGTGTTAGTGGGTCCGAGTGTTCATCGGCCCGAGTGTTGATGGGACCGAGTGTTGATGGGTCCGAGTGTTGATGGGACCGAGTGTTGATGGAGCTGAGTGTTGATGGGACCGAGTGTTGATGGGACCGAGTGTTGATGGAGCTGAGTGTTGATGGAGCTGAGTGTTGATGGGACCGAGTGTTGATGGGACCGAGTGTTGATGGGACCGAGTGTTGATGGGTCCGAGTGTTGATGGGACCGAGTGTTGATGGAGCTGAGTGTTGAGGGACCGAGTGTTGATGGGTCCGAGTGTTGATGGGACCGAGTGTTGATGGGACCGAGTGTTGATGGGACCGAGTGTTGATGGGACCGAGTGTTGATGGGACCGAGTGTTGATGGGACCGAGTGTTGATGGGTCCGAGTGTTGATGGGTCCGAGTGTTGATGGGACCGAGTGTTGATGGGACCGAGTGTTGATGGGTCCGAGTGTTGATGGGACCGAGTGTTGATGGGACCGAGTGTTGATGGGACCGAGTGTTGATGGGTCCGAGTGTTGATGGGACCGAGTGTTGATGGGACCGAGTGTTGATGGGACCGAGTGTTGATGGGTCCGAGTGTTGATGGGTCCGAGTGTTGATGGGACCGAGTGTTGATGGGACCGAGTGTTGATGGGACCGAGTGTTGATGGGTCCGAGTGTTGATGGGTCCGAGTGTTGATGGGACCGAGTGTTGATGGGTCCGAGTGTTGATGGGACCGAGTGTTGATGGGACCGAGTGTTGATGGGTCCGAGTGTTGATGGGACCGAGTGTTGATGGAGCTGAGTGTTGAGGGACCGAGTGTTGATAGGACCGAGTGTTGATGGGACCGAGTGTTGATGGGTCCGAGTGTTCACCGGCCCGAGTGTTGATGGGACCGAGTGTTGATGGAGCTGAGTGTTTATGGAGCCGAGTGTTGATGGGTCCGAGTGTTGATGGGACCGAGTGTTGATGGGTCCGAGTGTTGATGGAACCGAGTGTTGACAGGTCCGAGTGTTAGTGGGTCCGAGTGTTAGTGGGTCCGAGTGTTCATCGGCCCGAGTGTTGATGGGACCGAGTGTTGATGGGTCCGAGTGTTGATGGGACCGAGTGTTGATGGAGCTGAGTGTTGATGGGACCGAGTGTTGACGGGACCGAGTGTTGATGGGACCGAGTGTTGATGGGACCGAGTGTTGACGGGACCGAGTGTTGATGGGACCGAGTGTTGATGGGACCGAGTGTTGATGGGACCGAGTGTTGACGGGACCGAGTGTTGATGGGACCGAATGTTGATGGGTCCGAGTGTTGATGGGACCGAGTGTTGATGGGACCGAGTGTTGATGGGACCGAGTGTTGATGGGACCGAGTGTTGATGGGTCCGAGTGTTGATGGGACCGAATGTTGATGGGTCCGAGTGTTGATGGGACCGAGTGTTGATGGGACCGAGTGTTGATGGGACCGAGTGTTGATGGGTCCGAGTGTTGATGGGTCCGAGTGTTGATGGGACCGAGTGTTGATGGGACCGAGTGTTGATGGGTCCGAGTGTTGATGGGACCGAGTGTTGATGGGACCGAGTGTTGATGGGACCGAGTGTTGATGGGACCGAGTGTTGATGGGACCGAGTGTTGATGGGACCGAGTGTTGATGGGACCGAGTGTTGATGGGACCGAGTGTTGATGGGTCCGAGTGTTGATGGGTCCGAGTGTTGATGGGACCGAGTGTTGATGGGACCGAGTGTTGATGGGTACCGAGTGTTGATGGGACCGAGTGTTGATGGGTCCGAGTGTTGATGGGACCGAGTGTTGATGGGTCCGAGTGTTGATGGGACCGAGTGTTGATGGGACCGGTGTTGATGGTTCCGAGTGTTGATGGGACCGAGTGTTGATGGAGCTGAGTGTTGAGGGACCGAGTGTTGATGGGACCGAGTGTTGATGGGACCGAGTGTTGATGGGTCCGAGTGTTCACCGGCCCGAGTGTTGATGGGACCGAGTGTTGATGGAGCTGAGTGTTTATGGAGCCGAGTGTTGATGGGTCCGAGTGTTGATGGGACCGAGTGTTGATGGTCCGAGTGTTGATGGAACCGAGTGTTGACAGGTCCGAGTGTTAGTGGGTCCGAGTGTTAGTGGGTCCGAGTGTTCATCGGCCCGAGTGTTGATGGGACCGAGTGTTGATGGGTCCGAGTGTTGATGGGACCGAGTGTTGATGGAGCTGAGTGTTGATGGGACCGAGTGTTGATGGGACCGAGTGTTGATGGAGCTGAGTGTTGATGGAGCTGAGTGTTGATGGGACCGAGTGTTGATGGGACCGAGTGTTGATGGGACCGAGTGTTGATGGGTCCGAGTGTTGATGGGACCGAGTGTTGATGGAGCTGAGTGTTGAGGGACCGAGTGTTGATGGGTCCGAGTGTTGATGGGACCGAGTGTTGATGGGACCGAGTGTTGATGGGACCGAGTGTTGATGGGACCGAGTGTTGATGGGACCGAGTGTTGATGGGACCGAGTGTTGATGGGTCCGAGTGTTGATGGGTCCGAGTGTTGATGGGACCGAGTGTTGATGGGACCGAGTGTTGATGGGTCCGAGTGTTGATGGGACCGAGTGTTGATGGGACCGAGTGTTGATGGGACCGAGTGTTGATGGGTCCGAGTGTTGATGGGACCGAGTGTTGATGGGACCGAGTGTTGATGGGACCGAGTGTTGATGGGTCCGAGTGTTGATGGGTCCGAGTGTTGATGGGACCGAGTGTTGATGGGACCGAGTGTTGATGGGACCGAGTGTTGATGGGTCCGAGTGTTGATGGGTCCGAGTGTTGATGGGACCGAGTGTTGATGGGTCCGAGTGTTGATGGGACCGAGTGTTGATGGGACCGAGTGTTGATGGGTCCGAGTGTTGATGGGACCGAGTGTTGATGGAGCTGAGTGTTGAGGGACCGAGTGTTGATGGGACCGAGTGTTGATGGGACCGAGTGTTGATGGGTCCGAGTGTTCACCGGCCCGAGTGTTGATGGGACCGAGTGTTGATGGAGCTGAGTGTTTATGGAGCCGAGTGTTGATGGGTCCGAGTGTTGATGGGACCGAGTGTTGATGGGTCCGAGTGTTGATGGAACCGAGTGTTGACAGGTCCGAGTGTTAGTGGGTCCGAGTGTTAGTGGGTCCGAGTGTTCATCGGCCCGAGTGTTGATGGGACCGAGTGTTGATGGGTCCGAGTGTTGATGGGACCGAGTGTTGATGGAGCTGAGTGTTGATGGGACCGAGTGTTGATGGGACCGAGTGTTGATGGAGCTGAGTGTTGATGGAGCTGAGTGTTGATGGGACCGAGTGTTGATGGGACCGAGTGTTGATGGGACCGAGTGTTGATGGGTCCGAGTGTTGATGGGACCGAGTGTTGATGGAGCTGAGTGTTGAGGGACCGAGTGTTGATGGGTCCGAGTGTTGATGGGACCGAGTGTTGATGGGACCGAGTGTTGATGGAGCTGAGTGTTGAGGGACCGAGTGTTGAGGGACCGAGTGTTGATGGGACCGAGTGTTGACGGGACCGAGTGTTGATGGGACCGAGTGTTGATGGGTCCGAGTGTTCACCGGCCCGAGTGTTGATGGGACCGAGTGTTGATGGAGCTGAGTGTTTATGGAGCCGAGTGTTGATGGGTCCGAGTGTTGATGGGACCGAGTGTTGATGGATCCGAGTGTTGATGGAACCGAGTGTTGACAGGTCCGAGTGTTAGTGGGTCCGAGTGTTAGTGGGACCGAGTGTTGATGGGTTCGAATGTTGATGGCACCGAGTGTTGATGGGACCGAGTGTTGATGTGGGTGGGGTTTAGTAGATGTGGGCGTGGCTATGTAAAGGTGGGCGGGGCTTCTGTGTGGGAGGAGCCTCGCCGTGTGTCCCCGTTGAGCCTCCCAGCCAGCCCCCCATGTCAGAATCAGAATCTTCACTTTGACTGGAAGAATCCAAGGCTCATACTGGCGTTAGGGGGGTTGAACTGCTTCAAGGGAAGTCGAAGGAAGTTCCCACTCAAACGACCATTGAACGCAGTGATCATCTCTCTGCTGAGCCCGTGGTGGAAATTCCCTATTCCCTATAGCGGACGGTTGACGAGTCCAGTGTCTCTCTTGGACATCTACTGTTCGACTTGCCCACAACGTGGTGCTCCTTTTATTTACCCACCTCCCAAAGATGTGATGGGCTGAGTCAACCGCTCCAGCGGGATTTGACCTCGCGATCTTTCCCATTGCGAGCCGCTCGCTCTGCCGCTACGATTCACCGGGCCGGATGGACCCCCGCGTCAACGGAGACGACCTTGACAACGATGACGACGATGGCGCCGATGGTGATGATGATGATGAGCATAAACCATCGCTCGAACTCTGGTCATCCTCGAAGCAGCGACTTTTGGCTGACCACCAAACAAAGACGGTGGCCACCGCGTCAGCGCGCGTTCAGATGCGCTTGTGCGGCCGTCTGGAGAGCTCTCCCTTCCGATATTAGGAAGCCACTGGACTTTTAAATCATCAACATTGAAAACGCATTTCTTTAGAACTGCTCTTTGTGTTAAATGTATTGTCTTTCCACCGCAGCGGTTGGCTGCGTACGGCGCAAAAGATGTTCAACAGAAACACCTAACAACGACGACGACGGTGTGTGTGTGTGTTTCTCTCCCTAGCCCCTCTCCTCCTCCCACCTTATCCGACCCCCCCCCACAGACCCCGCCATGTCCCTGCCGACCCCGGCGAGCTGCGTGCCAGGGGCCAAGGCGCGGCGGCGAGGATCGGTGCCGCTCTGCGCCCTGCGCGTGGCGCTGCCCGACGGGCGGGCGCTGGAGCTGGCCGCCGCGGTGAGGTCACGAGCGCGACCCCTGACCCTTCCGCCACGAGCACGACCCCTGACCCTTCCGCCACGATCGCGACCCCTGACCCTTCCATCACGAGCGCGACCCCTGACCCATCCGCCACTAGCGCGACCCCTGACCCTTCCACCACGAGCGCGACCCCTGACCCTTCCACCGCTCGCTCTCTGACCCTCGACCGTGACCGTTAACCGGCTGTGATTTATTTTTTGTTTGTTACCTGGCCCGTGACCCTGAGCGGCGCAGGTGAGTGTGACCGGGCAGGAGCTGCTGGCGCAGGTGTGTACGCTGCTGCGGGTCCGAGATTCGAGGTTTTTTGGAATCAGCATCTCAATCCGTGAGCGCCCTGCACTGTGACACGTGACCTGCACTCGCTGTGTTTACACCCACACACCCTGCACTCTAACACGTGCCCTGCACTCCACGTGTTTACATCCACATCCTGCATGGTTACACCCTCAATATAGCCTAACACATGCACTTCGTCATACGCACAGGTTTTCTTTCACACACACTCCTTACTCTCTCACACACACTCACACCTTCTTATTCACACGAAGACAAAGATCCCCCGTATATTCCTTAACAGACTTTTGCGGCAAGTACTGTTAGCGAGCACCTATGAAGGCCGGCACGGGACACGAGATAGTGGGTGGCCAGCACCACGCCCGGCCGCCTTTGTCTCCCCAGTGGCGATGTTTACACACCACACCAGGTACTCATTTGAGGCTGAGTCGACTTAGGGGAGGTCCTAGGACCAGTTGAGATAATCGTCACTGGTGTTGGCGGCCGTGAGCAGGAATCCAACTCGAATCACCAGGTTCATAGCGTTGCGTACTAACCATGACGCCACACACACTAACACTCACACAACCACACCATCTCTGTCACACGCACATGCATGAAAACTCACTGACACCCATTCACTCGCTCATTCACCCGCTCGTATGTTCACCCTTGCATGCTGACTCTCTCACACTCACTCACTAAACTCTCACACTACACTCTCACACTCCACTCAACAACAACAACTACCAAGTGGCGGTGATGTCACCAGAGCGATCGTGCCATGCTAGCGGCAACCTGAAGTGTCGAAGGCCCATTGGCAGGAGGTCACGGAACAGATCCAGGTGCCGTGGGTTGACTGACTGAGATGATTGGCAGATGCACCAGTTCTGCTCCCCAACTTTCCTTGTTTTAGCCGCCTGGAGCTCTGCTCGCTTTTGTGAGCGTCGTTCCTCCCCTCTCTGTTGTTGTTCGAGGGCGACTGCCTCCAACTCCTCCATGAGGAGCCTCCTTCACAGAGGCCGATCTTGACACTGCTGGTACCGGTTATCGGAAAGTCCACTCAGCTCTACAATCCTTCTGTACCGCATTAGTCCATATCTTCTCTAGCCCGTCAAACTCCAACGCCCTAACACACACTCACTCTTATTCTTTGGTTCTTTCGGTTAAGTCACGTCTAAAGATAAAGAACCAAAGAATAATTCCTGCAGTCACGAAAGCTCCAAAATTAAGAACACACTCACTCTCTCGTGCACATTGTCTCTTCCCCCCGCACCCCCTACCCCATCTGACCCCCCCACCCCCACCACCTCTCCTCACCTTGAAAACCTCATCTCAAACTCAGACCACATGTCTGCCTTGGAGAGTTGCAGTGTAGAACTCAAAAGAATTGCCCTCACCGGCGCGTAGTTTTAGATTGGCCACCCACCCTCTCTCCGAGCGCTCGCTAGCAGCACTTGCCCCAAAAGCATGTGCAGGCTATCCGGTGCCTGTGCCTCTATACACACGTGCAATGCGCGCGTGTGCCCGTGCGCGCGCGCGCGTGTGTGCGCTGCAGGGAACGAGCACGTGTTCATGGAGCCCCAGGACAAACTCGGCAAGTACTGCCCCAAGCAGTGGCTCCGGGAGGTGGCCCAGGTTTGTGTGGGGACACCCCCGCGGCCCCCGCGGCCCCCGCACATCCACAGACTCCCACCACGACCCCCCCCCCCTCACCACTACCCACACGTGCACCCCCTTCTTGTGGTGTCTTTGGGGGTTTTTTTGGCCGAACCCTAACGCAGATGAGCCTAACTCGCAGACGCGACTCAACCCTGACCCTGTCCCAACCCTGTCCCAACCCTGACCCTGACCCTGTCCCAACCCTGACCCTGACCCAACCCTGACCCTGACCCACCTCTGACCCTGCCCCAACCCTGACCCTGCCCCAACCCTGACCCTGTCCCACCCCTGACCCACCCCTGACCCTGACCCTGCCCTGACCCTGACCCTGACCCAACCCTGACCCTGCCCCAACCCTGACCCAACCCTAACCCTGACCCTGCCCCAACTCTGACCCTGACCCAACCCTGCCCCAACCCTGACCCTGACCCTAACCCACCCCTAATCCTGACCCAACCCTCACCCTGCCCTAACCTTTACCTCACCAATCCTCACCTCTCACCAACATTCAAACCCCTCCCCAACCCTCGCCCCTCGCCGCCCCCCGCCCCAGGCGCAAGCTGCCGGGAGGAGTGGGCCCCCCCTCACCGTCTTCTTCCGAGCCCAGTGCTACGTGGACTTGGCCCGCGCCATCCGGTGCGTGCACGGTACAGACACAAATACAAAGGTTCCCCCCCCGTATAGCCTCAATAGACCGTGGGGGCAAGTGCTGTTTGCGAGCAGCATCCATGAAGGCAATGGTATCGCATCTCCAATTTAGCGCGGTTGACTACGTATGGTGCGAAAGAAGTTTAACTCGCGTGCGTGAGGGTGCGTTGACAGGTACCACGCCCCAGTGGCGATGTTACAGGGAGGAACAATGTTCCACACTGCCCACCAGGGATTATTTAGCTGTCTGTCTGTCTGACTGTCTGTCTGTCTGTCGTGCATAAATAAATATATAATACACACAGCTCTTTGATTGGTGGAGACCTACTGCCGGGTACGGAGAGGGGAGGTGCCTAAGGGAGGAGGGTCAGGGGAGGGGCCTAAGGGAAGAGGGGGTCAGGGGAGGGGCCTGAGGATATGGGGGGGGGGTGGCCAGGGGAGGGGCCTAAGGGAGGGGGGGGGCCGATAGTGAAGGGGGCTGGCTACCTGGCTGTCTGCCTGGCTACCTCAAGTCACGTGATCTTGTACACAGGTAGAGGAACAAGAGGTTCCACACTCCCCACCAGGGATTATTTGTCTGTCTGTCGTGCACGAATGCGCTGTCCAACCAAGTTCCTACCTGCCCACTCCGAAGGAACGTGTTTACTCACGGCACCGAGTGACTCATTTAAACCGATTCAAATAGTCGTCACTGACGTTGGGAGACCTGAGTGGGTTTTGAACTTGGGTCGCCGGGTTCGTAGTGCGCCGAGCTACCTGCTACACTACCGCTGCATACACGCACACAAAGATCACACCCGTTAGAGCCGTTAACAGACTGTCGGGGCAAGTGCTGTTAGCGAGTGCCTATGGAGTGCAGGCACGGCACACGAGGGGGTGAGTGGCCAGCCCCACGCCCGGCCGCCTTTGTCTTCCCTAGTGGCGATGTTTACACACCGTAACAAGGTGCGCATTTGAGGCTGAGTCGACCTAGGGGAGGCCCAGGACCGGTTGAGATAATAGTCACCGGGTATTGGCCGCGAGCGGGAATCGAACTCGGGTCGCCGGGTTCGTAGCGCAGAACAGGAACCACGACACCAAAAGAGGCCCAGGAACGGTTCAGAGAACCCCGTGTACAGCCTTTAACAAAGCGTCGGGGCAAGTTAGCGAGCGAGCGAGCGCACACACCCACACACACGCACACACACACACATGCACACACACACACACACGCGCACACACACGCACACACACCCACACACAACAACAACCGCCATTCGCCACTAAGTGGCGGAGACGTCACCACGACGCTTGTGCCAGGCCAAGTGCACCTTGAGGCCACGTGAAGTGTCGAACGCCCGCTGGCAGGAGGTCACGGGGCAGACCCAGCAGGTGCCACGGGTCGACTGACCGAGATGACCGAGATGACTGGCTGATGCACCACCTGTGCCCCCTACTGTACCAACACACACGCACACGCACACACACACGCACACACGTGTCGCGGAGCCACTGTGGCGCTGCCCACCCACCCGCCCACGTGCCGTGGAGACGCGGGACCGAGTCGACATCCAGAATTGGAACTCGCGACCTCGTGGCCTTCCCATCGCGAGCCGATTGCCGTGCCGTGTAGCCACCTGGCCGCTTCACCGTCATCGTGACGAGCGTCTCTCACCTGCGGTGCGCGCGCGTTGTGCCTCCCGTATCCCCGCACCGCCCCCACCCCCTGCTCCCCGTCCGCAGTGACCCGGTTTCGAGGCACTGGTACTACGCCCAGGTGCGCGCCCAGGTGCGCGCGTCGCGCTGCGCGGGGAGGGAGGAGGCCTTCTTCTCGCTCGCCGCGCTCGCGCTGCAGTGCGACTTCGGGGACCTCGCGGCGGGGCCGGCCGGGGCCGCCTCGGGGAAGACGACGCGGGAGGAGGCGCACGGGGACCCGACGGGGCGAGGTGGGGACCAGGAGGAGCCGTCGTCGCTGCTTCCTCGCCACGGCGACGAGGAGTACTTCGACCCCAGCGATTACTTCCCCGCGTGGGTACGCAGCGAGGAGAAGGAGACGCAGCGAGGAGAAGGAGGCGCAGGGGTGGGGAAAGTTTCCGGCCTTTCTAGGTGCTCGCTAACAGCACTTGCCCCAACAGTCTGTTCAGGCTTTACGGAGGGGGGGGGGGGGGGAGGTCTTTGTCTTTGATGGTGGCGGTGATGAAGCTGGTGTCGCACGTGCTAGGAATTAATGTAGATGACGACGACGATGACGACGACGACGACGACGACGATGATGATGACGATGATGATGACGACGACGACGATGACGACGATGATGACGATGACGACAATGACGACGACGATGACGACGACGATGACGACGATGGGTGGTGATGTGGGCGCGTGCCAGGTGCTGTCCCGCCGGGGCCGCGGCTTCGTGCTGCGTCACGCGCCGCGCGCCCACGCCGAGCTGGCGGGGCTGGCGCGGGGCCGCGCGCTGCTGCGCTTCGTGCGCGAGGCATGCACGCGGCTCGCCGACGACGTCCCCGTCACGCGCTACCACCTGCTGCTCCACGTGACGAGCGCACCGCACGTCATCACCGTCACCATTGTCTTCATCGTCGTCGTCGTCACTATCGTTATCACGTGCCCATCACGTGCTACCTCCTACTGCTGCTCCCCCACGTGACGAGCGCACCGCACGTTATATTCGTCGTCCCCATCATCATTGTCATCGCATTGCTCGTCACACACTACCGCCTGCTGCTCCACGTGATGAGTGCACCGGATGTCATCTCCATCATCATCTTAATCGTCGTCGTCGACATCACCATGGTCACCATTGTCAACATCGTCATCATCATTCTTATCATCACCACCATCATCATCACCATCGTCATCATCATCACCATCGTCATCATCATCATCACAATCGTGGATGAATGAGTGAGTGATTGAATGAGTGGGAGAGTTGGTAAGTGAGAGTGATTGAATGAGTGCGAAAGTTGGTAAGTGAGTGGGTGAGTAAGTAATAGAGTAGGTGAGTGAGTGAGTAAGTGAGAAAGTACGTGAGTGAGTGGGTGGTTGGATGAGTGCTTGAGTTATAGTTGGAGAGTGTGTGGTTGAGAGTGAGCTGAATGATTCGGGAGAAAGGAGTGAGGTGAGCGACTGAAACAACGAATGAGTTGACCGTCTCCGCAGGATAAACACGTGGACCGGGAACTCATCCTAGGAGTGTCGTTCGACGGACTTCAGATTTTTCAGGTGAGTGGTGATACACTCACCACATCGCTTGCCACATTGCTCGCCACATCACTCACCCCACCTGAAAATGTTGAACCGGTCCCGGGCTCCACATCCTTCCCACAAGCACTGTGGTGAAGTATGGTAAAAACAACCCCCCTTGAGCATGACAGCCTTCATCCAGCAGTGGAGCGACGACCGCCTGTGAATGGGAACTTTAATAGGCACGGTATATAAATATCTTGCCCGCTCTCCCTCTCGCACTCTCACTCCCACACTCTCCCCTCTCTCTCAGGGCCCGGGGAAGCACCAGGGGGAGTTTCTCTACGCGGTGCCGTGGACGAACATCGGGAAGATATCGGCGCAGGTGAGAGAGGGGGGCGCAGGTGAGAGAGAGGGGTGCAGGTGAGAGAGGAGGGCACAGGTGAGAGAGGGGGGTGCAGGTGAGAGAGGGGGGCGTAGGTGAGAGAGGGGGCACAGGTGAGAGAAGGGGGCGCAGGTGAGAGAGGGGGGCGCAGGTGAGAGAGAGGGGTGCAGGTGAGAGAGGGGGTGCAGAGGAGAGAGGGGGTGCAGAGGAGAGAGGAGGGAGAGAGAATGGAAAGTGAGAGTTGAGAGAGAGAGAGTGTGAGACTAGGCCCTAAAGAAAGTTGTCCGGTGTCGGACAATCAATTTCAAAGACAATGCCAATATATTATCAGAGCTTTATTCTTTGGTGCTTTCGGTAAAGCCACGTAGAAATAAAATAATAGTCTTATATTAGTTAATTAATTGTCTTTCTACATGTATTCTATTATTTAATTTATTTCCTTTCTACGTGGCTTTACCAAAAGAACCAAAGAGTAATTCCTGCAGTAACGAAAGCTTCAAATCAAGTTATCAGAGTATGTGTTTTTGCATGCTCACCACAAGCACTGAGTGCGGTTAGTGCAGACTTGATGGCTTGCAAAAGGTTTCTATTTAGTGCTTGAACATCTTAACGCCTGTTTTATTCATCATTTCGGTTTTTTTGGGGTTATATCGCGTAAATCTAAATGCGTTGTTAAACCCGCCACCACCAGACACAGACAACATAATTAGTGAGGTTTTAAACAGAACGTGGCCAATTCTTTACTAGTACAGCACACCGGTGTGTTGGAGAGAAAAACCACAACATTTACAATCCGAGTACGACGTTTCGCCAGTAATTACAACCAGCTTCATCAGGCGACAGCCAGATTTGTGGAGAAATCCTCCCGTTTCGTTCCTTAAATAGAGTGGGTAGACGCGATGACGTCACTTGTGAGCTCTTCGCGTGTGAAGTGAGGGGGGGGGGATTAATGAATGCAAATAAATTACAATGGGTGTCCATTTACGCTTGGGTTATTCACGTGGTAATCAACGAACATTAACCATGCCCTGTTTTATTGCCAGAAAGGGTAAAAAAAAACTATCCTTTACACCATTGGAACCTCATTTGCCAGTAAAAAATAGGATAATTGGTTTTTTACCCTTTTTTCTGACAACAAAACTGACACCTTTTTTTACAAGGAGTCATGTTTGCATAGACCACGATACCTGCAGTCATAATGCAAACAAAACAATTATCAGAGTTATGTTTTTTTGTTTGCATTATGGTCTATGCAAACATGACTCCTTGTAAAAAAGGTGTCAGTTTTGTTGCCAGATAGAAGGGTAAAAAACCAATTATCAAACCTATCCTTAATTTTCATCAGGAGGAGCAGCGTCTCCTGTTCTCACAGTGGGCAGGGAAGAGAGGGGGAGGGGGGGGACTCAGAGTGGGGGGGGGGGGGCACACACGGGAGTCACGTGGAAGCTTGAGCCGATTGAGACACAGAGAGAGATGATGACGACGACTTATTATTATTATTATTCTTCTTCTGTCCACTGCCCGCCACCTTCCCCCGCACCCGCGATTAACACGGTGGGCTACGTACGGCGCGAAAGAAATTCAACGCACACACACACACAAGTGTACAGCACCTCCTGCCCCCCTCCCTCTTCTACCTGCCCCCCCCCCGCCTCCCCCCGCAGGGTTCACGGTTTGAGGTCCGCCTCGAGGGCCGGGCGTCCGCGGGCGGTCGCCTGACGCTTCGCACCGGACACCCGCAGCACGCGAGCAGCCTGCTGCACCACGTGCGCCGCTGCCACGAGCTGCACGTGCAGCTGCAGCCGCTGCTGGAGAGGATGCGGGCGCGGGAGCAGGGTGGGTGGACTGACTGACCCCCCCCCCCGTCCCTCCAGAATTTTGCCAAAGATCCCCAAGGCAGGAGCCCGCGTGCGAACGAGCCTCTTGAGACTCGTCGCTGGTAATTCGTGGTGATCGTGATAATGATCACAAGTCAATTGCGCGCGTTTGGCATCACCGCCGACTGTTCTCAAGGCGTGAGCGCCACGCGGAATCTATACAAATAAAAACGCGGAATCTATACAAATAAAAACCTTCATCTGTGTGTCGCAAAGACCTCTAGGGGACTTGCCGACAAGGTAGAAAGCTGAAATGTGGTGCACAGGTAGCTTTTAGGCTGATACACACAACAGGAAAAATCTGAAAATCCGAGATTTTTCATTTCAAGGTCCCCAAATCTCGATTTTAAGTGGCCCATCAACATGTTTATGCATATATAAGATGATTCTTTGGGTCACGTAGATAGAAAAATAATAAAACAACGACGGACGTTTCGATCGCAACACAAGCAATCATCTTCAGGGGGAAAAATAGAACAGGCGGACTGCTGAGGCAGGGAGAAATATGGCGAGAGAGCTACCGCAGCCAAAGGTTATACTGGTAGGAACCTCCTGGTTACACCAGCCCACAGGGGATTATTGTGTCCGTCCGTCCGTCGTGCAGGGAGGGGCTGGGTGGGGAGGGAGGGGCTGGGTGGGGAGGCGAGGGTGGGGAGGGGCTGGGTGGGGAGGGAGGGGCTGGGTGGGGAGGGTGGGGCTGGGTCACCCCGTGGTGCCCTTATAAAACTCAACGTTTAACCTACTCACGCCGGCTTGTGTCCACCCTCACAGTCGGGCATATTTGTGGAATACACCACGCCGACGTTGACCCTGGACATTGACCGAGCAACCCAACGTTCCTACCAGCTCCCTCCGCAGGAATGTGTTATAAGTTTGAGGTGGGTAAGTGGGCGGGGCTAGAGATAGAATTTGCAAATAAAGGTAAAATCGCTGAGGGGGTACAATGGCTTGCTCCGTCTCCCCCCGATTGCAGACGTCCTCCCCTACCGAGAATGCTTCATCAGCGACTACCCTGACCCGAGCCCCACGGAGCCCCCCAGCGCCGACCTTGACCCCGCCAGACCGCAGGGGGTCCAGCAGCAGCGGCAGCAGCAGCACCAGCAGCAGCAGGAGCAGCGGCAGCGGCAGCAGGAGCAGCGGCAGCGGCAGCAGCAGGAGCAGCAGCAGCATCAGCAGCAGCACCAGCAGCGGCAGCAGCACCAGCAGCAGCAGCGGCAGCAGGAGCAGCGGCAGCGGCAGCAGCAGCAGCAGCAGCAGGAGCAGCAGCAGCAGCAGCGAGGGGACGGCGTGGACCCGCTCGGAGGAGGAGGGGGGGTCGCGGCGGACGTCGGACAAGACGAGACTCAAGGTGATGACAGAGACAAAGGTCCCCCCCCCCAACCCCTATAGCCTTAACAGACTGTTGGGTCAAGTGCTGTTAGTGAGTAGGACCCTATGGAGGCCAGGAGGGTACACGAGGGGGTGGGTGGCCAGCACCACACCCGGCCGCCTTTGTCTCCCAAGTGGCGATGTTTACACACCGCACCAGGTACTCATTTGAGGCCGAGTCGATCTAGGGGAGGCCCAGGACCGGTTCTGATAATCGCTATCACTGATGTTGGTGGCCATCAGTGGGAATCGAACCTCGGTCGCCGAGTTTGTAGCGCAGCCGCGCTAACCGATGCACCACCGCTCACACCAACGTCAACCGTGACACACGCACACGTGCACACGCACGCACATACACACGCGCGCACACACACACACATGTGCACACACACGCGCGCACGCACACACGTGCACACACACACATGCACACACACGTGCACACGCACACACACACACACGTGAACACACACACACACATGTGCACACACACGCGCACGCACACACACACACACACACGTGCACACACACGTGCACGCGCGCGCACAGCGTAGGCACTTTATAAACCGACTGGCGGATGGGTGAAGGCCTCATCTCCACGCCGCGTCCGTCACTGGGGTTCCTTGACCATACTTCACCACGCCGGTCAGTCGGTCACTGAGGCCCCAGGGACCGATTGTGACGTCACTCGTCGGGATGATTGCGCAGAGTCAACACCCTCCCCTAACCCCCTCCTCCACCTCCCCCACCACCCTCCTCCTCTCCCACCCCTCCTCCTACCCCCCCTTCCTCCCCCCCCGCCTTCTCCCCCACCCCCCCGCCTCCTCCCCTACTCCCCCGCCTCCTCCCCCTCCCCCCTCGCCTCCCCCTCCTCCCCCCTCCTCCCCCACCATCCCTCCTCCTCCCCCACCCCGCCGCCTCCTCCCCCTCCCCCCTCCTCCTCCCCCTCCCCCCTCCTCCTTCCCCCTCCTCCTCCCCCTCCCCCCTCCCCCTCCTCCTCCCCCACCCCCCCTCCTCCCCCACCCCCTCCTCCTCTCCTACCCCCCTCCACCCCTCCTCCCCCACCACTCCCTCCCCCCACACCACCCCCCAAACCGGGTCTTGAACTTGCGACATTCCGATCGCGCGGCGCCCAGTCGGCCCCCCATATGCACTCATAACGACAACAACAACAACGACAACAACAACAACACCGACAACAACAACAATTCACGAATCGATTCCGCAGGAGGGGGGCAAGTGGCGTGTGGCGTGCAGGCGGTGAGCGGTTCCGCGTGCTGCGCTCTGGCTCAAATCGCCGAATAGCGAGCATAGCGAGCATAGCGCGGTGATGCGTCTCACACGTTTTGCCCCCCCCCCCCCTCTGCCAGGTGTGCGCTATAAAAGACGCGAGCAGCGTCCTGGCGTTCTCCCCAGGCATGCCATCCCGGTCGCTCGATTGCTTGCACCTGTGCCCTGAGCGGAGAATTTTGTTTTGAGCAAAGGAAGAAAGAAAGACACTTTTCGATTTAAAGCTTTCGTGACTGCAGGGATTAATCTTCTTGGTTCTTTCGGTAAAGTCACGCAGAAGGGAAGTAATAAAATAACAAAAATAAAACATAATAAAATAATATTTTTTGTTATTTTATTACTTCCCTTCTGCGTGACTTTACCGACAGACCCAAGAAGAAAAAAGAAAGACACGTTTTTTTTTTACTCGGCGGCCCATCATTCTTTAGGGGGTCGATAAACCACCTACCACTTTGCGTGGAAGTCAGCGTTGAGTGTTCCGTTCTGTGGATGGAGAGAGATGATACTCGCTCGCGCCACGTGAATGTGCAATCGAATGTCCCTCCGGGGGGGGGGGGGGTGGGGGGGGGCGATAAAACAAGTGCCACTTTGAAGCGACGTTCTCCGCCATGGGAACGTGGAATTTCCCACCCGCTGGCTCTTTTCATGGGGCTTGTAAAACCACGAGATGTGAGCACCACCGAGATGCCTCGATCGACGACAACGACAACAACTAAAAATAACCGGACGGAATTAATATAACGCCGCTGTTGCTTTTTAATAATTCGGCTTGGCCGTTCATTGCCTCCGTTGTGTGTTGCCGCGTGGCGTCTGTTTGTGTTTCATCTCGCGGGCGGCTGCAGAGGAGTCGCCCCAGGGTCCACGCAGGGTCACGCTCAGAGATTAATCCAGCAGTAGATAGATAATGGTTGATGTTGCTACTACTACTATTGATGGCGATGATGATAATAGTTGTTGCTGCTGACACTGTTGCAGTTGATGGTGATGATGATGACAATGATGATTGTAGCTATGGGTGCTGAAGCTGATGATGATGATGATGACAATGATGATTGTAGCTCCTCTTTGGTTTTTTCGGTAAAGTCACGTAGGTAAAAATTAAAAATAAATCACGACGTTTCGGAGGCAACACTTGATACAGCAATTTTGCTGTGACGGTGCCACTTGAAGACGGAAGCTTGTGTTGCCTCCGAAACGTCGTAATTTAATTTATTTTTCTTTTTTTACCTACGTGACTTTACCGAAAAAAACAAAAAGTATGGACCCTTGCAGTCACAAAAACTTCAAATCTAGAATGATTGTAGCTATTGCTACTGCAGCTGATGATGATTATAGCTATTGGTGCTGAAGCTGATCGATGATGATTCGATCCAAAATATGTGAGAGTGGGACAGAAAGTCATCAACATAGCAGTTGATAGAAAATGACCACTGCTTCTGTTGATGATCACCATGCTGAATCCATGCCTCGACCCGGCCTATGCCAGACATGTGTTGTTGATTCATGGTGAAGTATAGCTGGTCTCGTTTTGTTTGTAGTCGTGCAGGAGACGTCACACAAGCGCCCCTGTGTGGAAGGCACGACAGCTCGGAGACACAGCTTCCAGGTGCCGACTGCTCGCTCGCTCGCTCACTCAGCTGATTGCTCACTCGCTCACTCACTCGCTCGCTCACTCAGTCGCTCGCTCGCTCGCTCACTCAGCTGATTGCTCACTCGCTCACTCGCTCGCTCGCTCACTCAGTCGCTCGCTCGCTCACTCAGCCGCTCGCTCGTTCATTTGCTTACTCATCCACCCACCTGCTCGCTCGCTCGCTCACCCACTTACCCACCCACCGCATCCACCCCCTCAATCACCAACCCATCCGCTTGCTGCCTGGCTTACTCACCCACTCACACACTCACTTACTCACTTGCTCACTCACTCACTCACCCACTCACTCACCCACTCGTTCAACCACGTGCCCACACACACTCGCTCACCTGCTCACCCACAGATTTTCCCACTCATTCACTCTCTGGAAGAGTGGACCTCTGCAACCCTAATGCCCATTATTCATTGAACAAGGAGATGTGTTCATCATCATCAGCACTATCACTACCATCATAATGATAACCTCCATCATCTTCACCACGACCATCACAACCCTCGTCGTGATCATCATCATCATCATCCACCTGATCTCTCCCCATCCTCTTGTGGCCACAGGGTTTGTCCACGTCATCTTCGGTGTCTCCTCCTCTTGTCGGCCGGACCTCACGACCCAGGAGCCGCAGCTTGGACGAACATCGCTCCCCCATCACCACCACCACCACCATCAGCACCACCATCCCCACCACCGCTACCGTCATCACCACCACCGTCGCCACCATCATCCCCACCAAAACCAACACCACTCTGACCAACACCACCATCACCACTACTATCACCAGTATCCTTGCCACCACGACCACCATAATCTCCACCACCATCACCCCCACCACTATAATCCCTATTACCATCAATCCCACAATGACCACCATCCCCACCATCCCCAACATCCCCACCATCACCACCAGCACCATCAGCACCATCATCTTCCTCCCCGACGCCACCGTCTCTCCCAATCCCCACTTCCCCAACGACTCCGGCGACCCCGGCGACCCCGGTGACCCCAACGACCCCGGCGACTCCGGCGAGTGGCGATTCCCGGAGACGCCGCGGAACCGGGACAGCGGCTACCACTCGCACTGCGCCACCGCCCAGCGGCGCCGCGATCGGGGCTACCGCAGTGGTGGAGGAGAGGCTACCGGTGGCGGTGGTGGCGATGGTGACGGTGGTGGTGGTGGCGGTGGTGGTGGCGGTGATGGTGGCGGTGGCGGCGGTGGCGGCGGCGGTAGCGGTTAGCGACCTGAGCCACGCCACGAACCCGGCGACCCGAATCCGATTTCGCGCTCACGACCGCCGATGACGATGACGATGATCCAAACCGGTCCTGGGCCTCCTCCCCTAGGTCGACTCGGCCTCAAATGAGTACCTGGTGTGGTGTGCAGCAAACATCGCCACTAGGGAGACAAAGGCGGCCCGGCGTGGCGCTGGCCGCCCCCACCCCCTCGTGGAGCGTTTCGGCCTTCATAGGTTGCTGCTCGTTAGCGGTACCTGCCCCAACAGTCTGTTAAGGCCGTACGGGGGGGATCTTTGGAGGTGGTGGTGGTGGAGGTGGTGGTGGTTGGTGGTGATGGTGGAAGTGCTAATAGAGGTGGTGGTGGTGGAGGTGATGGAGGTGATGGTGGAGGTGTTGGTGGAGGTGGTGGAGGTGTTAGTGGAGGTGGTGGTGATGGTGGAAGTGCTAGTAGAGGTGGTGGTCGAGGTGATGGAGGTGGTGGTGGAGGTGGTGGTGGTTGGGTTGGTGGTGGAGGTGATGGAGGTGATGGTGGAGGTGGTGGTGGAGGTGGTGGTGGTGGTTGGGTTGGTGGTGGAGGTTGGGTTGGTGGTGGAGGTGGTGGTTGATGTGGAGGTGGTTGTGGTGGTGGAGGTGGTGGAGGTGGTGGAGGTGGTGGTGGAGTCCGAGTGAATCACAGAACTATGTAGAACGAGTCCACAGGGGTCCCTAGTGCATCACTGACCCTGGGCTCGATAGCAATGAATGAGAGGGGAATGATGGCGAGCGTCCAGGGAATGGGGAAGTCTCGTGAACGACATCATCTTTGGACATCGTGACATTGAACGACTCCAGGGAATGAATCTAGAATTGCAATGGATGATTTTAGTAAATAGCAGTGAATGAGAAGGGAATAACAGCGTTTATCGAATGGGAGTGAATGAGTGTAGGGAATGACGGTGAATAACTCGGGAATAAAAACGTTTAGTATTATGAGTGTAATGATGATCTGAACAGTAACCGATTATATTAACAGTACGTGATGATGATGACGATGATATGTACACTACATGATGATGGTATGAAAAATACATTATGATATGAAAAGTACATAATGATCGTGGTGACATGAATATTACTTGATGACGATGACCATTGGAGTTATAGATTATATCGATGGAACTGACGCCGCATCTCATGATGATAATGGCATGATGATGGTGATTTGTTCTGATAGTGACGTCACCAGAGTAATGATGGTGAAACTAACACATTCCTGCGAAGGGAGCTGGTAGGAACGTCGGGTTGCTCGGTCAATGGCCAGGGTGAACGGCGGCGTGGTGTATTCCGCAAATATGCCCGACTGTTAGGGCGGGCACAAGCCGGCGTGAGTAGGTTAAACGTTGAGTTTTATAAGGGCACCACGGGGTGATCAGCCCCTCCCCACCCAGCCCCACCCCTCCCACCCCTCACCCAGCCCCACCCTCCCCACCCAGCCCCTCCTCACCCTCCCCACCCAGCCCCTCCCCACCCTCCCCTCCTCACCCAGCCCCTCCCTCCCCACCCAGCCCCTCCCTGCACGATGGACACACTAATCTCCTGCGGGCTGGTGTAACCAGGAGGTTCCTACCAGTATATTTGACTGCAATGATGATGATGCCATCATCATGAGCATCATCATCATCATGGCCACATATTTGAGTACAATCCAATAAGTCATCATCGCGTGAACGTTGTTTTACCATCACTGCGATGTCTTTTGAAAATTAAATAGAACAGAGTGATCCATTTACAGATGCGCCATTTAAATACTTTAAATCAGGGGTGGGGAACGTCCGGCCCGCGGGCCGTATGAGGCCCGCGAAATCATTTGGTGTGGCCCTGCCAAGGCAACCGCAGGCGGGACTCGAAATTCAATAAATCTCGGAGCAAACCTGGAAAAGCAGTTGCGAGTAGCAGCAACATCATCAATAGCCAGCTAACATCACACGCCTCGCCAAAGAGAAGCAGTTCCAGCCCATCGCATTAGGGGCGAGTTAATAAAATGTTTGACCAAATATAACGGGCAAAATATTTAAGTTGATCACTTTGTATGGCCCGCGAATGATGTTATATAAATATCCAAATGGCCCTTGGCAGAAAAAAGGTTCCCCAGCCCTTCTATAAATAAATACGTGACCTGCAAAGCCCTCTCGACTACGCACCTGCCATCAATCTCAATACAACTCGTTAAACATCGTAACCGCTCTCTGCGACGTGCGTACCATCGCTTTTCTAGCACTCAATCGGCCGTCGAGAAGGCAGTACGATTGGGTCGTAAGAAATCGGTCGCATACTGACAACAGATGAGCAGACAATGTCTCATTCGCGTGTCCGTCTGCACGTGACATCACAAATCTAAGTGTTTGTTTACACATCCCATCAACCGCACACACGGCGTTTTGTGAGTGCCCAATTGCAGCAGCATTGAATCAAGACGAGCAAACCGCTTTGGTGGCCCGGTTTCGCCACGCAGTGTCTCATCAGCAGCCCGAGTCGGTCTTCGCTTGAATCGGTGACGGTGAACTGGCGATTTTAATCATTAAATGGATCGCACTCTAAATTTGGAGGGGGGAGCGGTGGCGCAGTGGTTAGCGCAGTGCACCCCCTGACCCCCGAACTTGAGTTCAATTTACCCGACCACGGCTCACATCAGTGGCGAGTCATATCTGATCCAGTCATGGACGCTCCAAACTTCCGCCCTCATCCCCGACGCGACCCCCATCAACAAGGGCTTGAATGAGCAACATTGGGGTGGCGAGGAGCCGCTGTCTACCGCCGAGCCAACGACAACAACAACAACAATAACGATCACTTCGGATGATTCTAATTAAATACATTCCGTGCCATTAACCTCGCAGTCACAGGAAACGACTTCAAACTGCGAACGGGGGCGCCTGAAGATGAACGGATTTATGAACGATTTTGCATCTATAATATTCACGCATCATTAAATATTTAGGGATAGTTTATTTTTATATTTATTTGAGACCCCCTCCCCCTCTTCCCCGGGTGCCGCGTGCGGCGAGCGCGTCTCGCGGAATCTGAAACAACGGCGGAGGCCACGCGGAGTTGACGGCTTTCATTAGCGTCAGAGTCCAACACCCGTGCATCCATCCGTCCCTTCCACAAGCGCGCGCGCGTGTGTATCTTCTGCGTTTGTGTGTGTTGTGTGTCTGTGCACCCCAACTAGGGAGACAAAGGCGGCCGGGCGTGGTTTGCTACCCCCCCCCCCCCCTCTCCTCTCCCCCTCGTTTGCCGTGCCTGGCCTTGATAGGTGCTACTCGCTAACGGCACTTGCCTCGAAAGTCCGTTAAGGCTACGCGGGGGATCTTTGTCTTGTGTTTGTATTCGTGTGGGGAGCGGTGGTGTAGCAGTTGGCGCGCTGCGTTACGAGCCCAGCGACCCAAGTTGGATTCCCTCTGACGGTCAACACCAGTGACGATTATCTGAACCGGTCCTGGGCCTCCCCTAGGTCGACTCAGACTTAAATGAGTACCTGGTGCGGTGTGTAAAAAAATCAGCACTGGCCGTGCCAGTCTCCATAGGTCCTCCCTGTGACAGCACTTGCCCCAAAAGCCAGTTGAAGGCTATACGGGAGATCTTTGTGTGTATGTGAGTGTATGTGGATGCGTGTGTGAATGTCCGAGTGAATACATTCGAGGTGAGTGATGTGGTAGGTTGGTGAATGATGTAGCGGGTAATGGTTGTAAGCGAGGTGTTTATTAGGTGAGTGAGTGGGAGAGTGGGAGAGTGAGTGAATGAATGGTTCAGTCGGTGATTAAATGATCGTTTAGGTGAGTGAGTGAGTGGATGAGTGAGTGAGTGAGTGGATGAATGAGAGAGTGAGGAGTGATTCGGTAGGCGAGTGGTTCAGTAGGTGACTGAATTATCGAGTAGGTGAGTGAATGGATGAGTGAGTGGATGAGTGATTGGATGAGTGAGAGTGGTTAAGCAGGTGAGTGAATGATCGAGTAGGCGAGCGCGTGAATTGGAAGGCGAGCTAGTTGGTAGGTGATTGAGTGAGTAGTTGAGTGATCCAGTCGGTGGGTGACTGCGCGAGTAAGCTAAGCTTCGTTAAGCTAGCAAAACAATAATAACAGTTCACTTGGTTTTCTATAATAGTGCAATTGGCAGAAGGTCTCCAAGAACTTTACATAAAAGCTGCTTAAGTCACGGAGAATGCATGTTGTAAAAGAACATCTCTATCAGGTGGGTTTTAATACGAGATTATAAAAAGTGTAACGGACTCAGATCCACGATCGCGGAGCCTGGAATAACGGCGGAGTGGCACGAGAAGACCAGCAGGTGTCTACGTTTCGGAATTGTCACGAGTTAAGAAGGTGAGATGTTTATAGGAGGCAGCGCATTCAAGGCGAAGAAGAACCTTAAAGGTCGATGTTGTACTTCACAGGGAGTCAGTGTCGGAATCTAGACAATCCCTGCGTTTGGTGTTGCATGAAGCTCATTGTCCACCCTGAACAGCATCCGTTGCACAAACCGTGGCAGTGGATGCGGACATCTGATGGTGCACCAATGGTGAAATTAAAAACTCTCCAGCGGTGTGCGACTTTGGTGGCCATCCAGAAGAGAGACCGTGCAACGCGTCACGACGCAATGTCCCCATCCACCACTACGAAGGAGACATCGTGGCGATGGACAACTCACACTGCTCCTGACCCGGTTTGTCTCGGGTCGACCACCCGGATGTGACATTGTAGCTGTTGTTCTACATCGACGTCAGCAGCCGGTACTAAAGTAGAAAAGTGCAGGAATAGAAGTGACATTATCGATAAGAGGTTTTAATTAATTGGTTAGATCGCGTAAGTATAAATGTGTCGTTAAACCCGCCACCACCCGACACAAGCAATTCGTAAGGGTTGTCACGTTAACAAAATGTGCCAAACGTGTTACTAATTCAGTACACCGGTGTGTTGGAGAGTAAACCCCACAACATTTACAATTCGAGTACTTTTTCGATTTAAAGCTTCTCGTGACTGCAGGGATTCATATTCTTGGTTCTTTCGGCAAAGTCACATAATTTTACCGAAAGAACCAATAATATGACTTCGAGTACTTGCCTGTGGGTTTAACGACACATTTATACTTACGCGATTTCACCCAACACAACATTGAGGGCGATGTCCGCTCTGTGACTTTACCCAACTGGGCACGGCAAGTCCTCGCTTAACGCGCGGTGTTCACACAACGCGCGTTTTTGCTCCATTTCCAATTCGACGTTTCGTCGGTAAATTCCAACCAGCCGCATCAGGCGACAGCCAGAATTGCGGAGGAATCCTCCTCCCGTTTAGATCTTAAATATAATGTTCACGCCATTTAGATCTGGGTTAAATTCAATTGTGGGGGGGAGGGGCACGGGTGGTGTCACCACCCGTGCGCCCCCCCCCCCCTGGCCTCACGCAGCGCGTTAATTACCCTGCAGGAACCCACCACCACCACCACAACCCACCACCCCCACCACCACCCCCACCACCTCAATCGCGAGACCTTTTACCGCGTGGCTAAGCCATCTCAAAATTACCCCCCTCCACCACCTCCTCACCCCACCAACTCCCCATGCATGATTAATGAATGCCACGCCACCTGTTATCTCATTAGGGGTCGCGTCTACAGGATTAGATTTGAGTTGACTTCGTTTCGTGAAGCTCGCGGTATTATACGCGTCGTACAAATCATCGTCGTCGTAATGATGTTGATGTAATGTCATCGTTACTCGTTGGTTCTTTCGGTAAAGTCACGTAGCTATAAAATAAAACTAAATAAATGAAATCACGACGTTTCGGGCGCAACACAAGCGTCCGTCATCAGGTGTCATGATGATCGTTATCTTGAGTGGGTGAATGTTATCGTTATCTTGAGTGAGTGGGCTATATTTAGAATGTGGAGATCGCCCTTGCCAGCTTCCTCGTCGGCACGGCCAAGACCGCCGCAGGTTCGGGGAAGCCTGCTCACGCAATCCACCGAATGGGCAAAATAAAAATGCATTTCACAACGCCGCTATTATTGATGATTTATTTCATTGACCAATGATTAATGATGATGATGATGGCGGAGACGATGGTGATGTGGTTGTCGTCTCTGACACATGGTTCACGCGTACAGCAGTACACGTGAACCATGTGTAAGAGACGCAATTCACAAATTATGATACAGTATACAATGGTATAATCACCCCCCCCCCCTTTTAGCGCCGATTCGATTAGCGCTCGTTTCTCGACGAACGCATCCTGAGCGGCTAAGCGGGGTGTGCCTGCATCCTTGTGTTGTCGATATGAATGAGTGGATGATGATGATGACGACGATCGATTAATTAATGACTACTATTATAAGGTTGCGTGATTATAATTACAACGGAGTATGTCACCTCCAAGAAGAGTATTAAGGCTCTGCGCGCAGGAGGATCTTGCAACATTGCGATAATTTGGCCGACTCCTCGTTAAGGAGTGATGATGAGCATCATCGATAAATACAATCAATGATATTATAATCGAAACATACAATCAATTATCTCTATCATTATGATGATCATCATCATAATGGTAGAAATCATGATGATGATCAAACAATGATCTCTACTATTATGATGATCATCATCATTATGGTAGAGATCATTGGTTGTATTTATTGATTACTTTAACATTGTCTATTCAAGGTCTCAAGGCGTGTAATCGCTTGCTCTGTCTGCCTGTCCGTACCGGGTACGCAACCATATTTCTCTCGTAAGGACGATCCAATACGAACTAATCTTTGGCATGAAAACAGTAGCGAATATCCGAACCGGTCCTGGGCTTCCCTTGGGTCGACTCAGCCTCAAATTAGTACAGCTGATTGCGATGCGTTGGCAGAGACACACGAGGCACACCCTAGAGTGGACATTCCCAATATACAATCGCGTTTCGCTATGACAACTAAACCGTCGGCTCCCGTACTCCTAATTAAACAATTCCTAAGACGTTGGGCTAAATGATGCATTTCATAACTCGTCATTATTGATGATTTATTTGATTGATCAATGAGGATAAACAATTGATTGATGGATGATAATGATTCGGTGATGAGTATTATGATTAATGATGATAATTTATTGATGATGGATGAGAAGCTGGATTGATAATGATTTATGATTATTTATTGCTTGAGATTATTGACGGATGAATGACATGATCGATGGAAGGTGATGACTATTGAATGGGTGATGATGATGATTACGATTCATTGTTGAGCAAGGTTATTTATAACTGACTGCCGGACGATGATTATACGGATGACAATGAATGATAATTATTATTGATTATGATGATGAATAACTGAAACGAGTGATAGATAATTATTTTAAATCAACACAATTATTATTTTCATCGTTCGATGATTGATACAATCGATGTAAATACCGTCGAAAAAAAAAAGAAACCCCGATGATTATAATTACAATGAATGGAATCGGGACAACGAAGCGAACGGGTTCCAGTGGACGAATCCATGCAAGTTCCACCTGCACGCAATCCAACTTCCTGCAGGTGCGAAACGTCGGACATCGTTCCAAAGAGCGGGGGAAGAGGTGGGGGGGGAGGAAACGAAAGCGGTGCAACGCGACGAAATGCAGAAGCGCAGCGGGAAAGGCGACATCATCCTCCTCCCATCTCCCACCGCAGGGAAGACTTCAAATTGACTCTCACTTGTAACACGACTCGGGCGGCGGCGGCGGCGGCGGCCGCGGTTGAAGCGGAGACGGCGGGTGGACACCTGGACACCTACTCGGTACAGGGTGGACATCAACCCGGCATAGGGTGGACATCGACTCGGCACAGGGTGGACGCGGCCGCGACCTCCCTGTTGGATTTGCACCGCGCGCGGCCGACGGGGAGCGAGGCGTGCCATGTACATCAGGTGAGTGTGTTCACCAGGTGAGCGGGGCTAAATCTCGACTTAAAGCTTTCGTGACTGCAAGGAGAATTATTTTATTATCTTTTATTTTTATTATTTTATTACTTCCCTTCTACGTGACTTTACCGAAAGAACCAGGAATATCTCGACTTAAAGCTTTCGTCACTGCAGGAATTCGTATTCTTTGGGTCGTTCGGTAAAGTCACGTCGATAGGTGCAATGAAACATGTTTCTTGGAAGCTATCTCCGTGACTTTGCCGAAAGACCCAAATGGGGTGAGCAGGGGTTGAGCGTGTGGGGTGAGCGTGTGGGTCGGATGGGGAGGGGTGGAGGAGAGCGGTGGCGGAATGGTTAGCGCACTGCGCTACGGACTCAGCGACCCGAGTTCGATTCGCGCTCACGGCCAACGCCAGCTACGATTGTCTGAGCCGGTCCTGAGCCTCCCCTAGGTCGACTCGGCCTCAAATGAGTACCTGGTGCGGTGTGTAAACATCGCCACTCGGGAGACAAAGGCGGCCGGGCGTGGTGATAAACACACCACCCCCCCCCCCTCGTGTGCCATCACGGCCTTCATAGGTGCTCGCTAACAGCACTTGCCCCAAAGAGGCTGTTGAGGCTATACGGAGGGGGGGGGGCAGGGTGGAATCTTTATCTTTGCAATTTGTGTGATATAATCTGCACACGAGTTGATTTCGCCAAATGTTGGCATCTTTCGTTCGTTCAATCATCCGTGATGACGTCGTCTTCGTCTTCTTCTCTGAATTGTGATGAAATATTGAAAAGGGAGAATATTCACGCGCTGGGGTGGATCTGTGTGGATGTGAAATAATGCATCTCTTTAAAGTGCGCGTGCCATTTCCGCTTGTCGAGTGCCGCTTCAAAGAGAACTTTCAACGACTCCCTCGTTGCTGCTCGCTTTTAAACCGCACTCTCAGCGCGCTCGTCAAATAACGGGGCTAATACTGGTAGGAACCTCCAGGTTACACCAGCCCACAGGGGATTATTGTGTCCGTCCGTCCGTCCATCGTGCATCCAAAAATGGGAGGGGTGGGGCTGGGTGGGGAGGGGAGGATGGGGAGGGGCTGGGTGGAGAGGGGCTGGGTGGGGAGGGGCTGGGTGGGGAGGGTGGGGGGTGAGAGGGGTGGGGCTGGGTGGAGAGGGGCTGGTCACCCCGTATTAAACTCAACGTTTAACCTACTCACGCCGGCTTGTGCCCGCCCTCACAGCCGGCCATATTTGCGGAATACACCACGCCGCCGTTGACCCTGGCCATTGACCGAGCAACCCAACGTTCCTACCAGCTCCCTCCGCAGCAGGAATGTGTTTGTATATATGTGTGGATGAAGTCAAACCATCCCCCACCCTCCCTTAACGACACTTGTAAGAGGACAAAGATATATTTAGTGGATTTGTAATAGTTGTCAGCATGCGTTTTACACCACGGGGTGGGGTGGCCTCGATTTGAATTGTAATTAAAAACGTCTTTCTTGATGGCCATTCTGCAATTTTTTTCTTACATTGGCTTTTATGGACCACTAATGCATCCACATATTTAAATGCCTTGCGCGTCCCGGACACGGCCGGATTTGACTTCGTTCCGTACGCATCCACGGCTGCATGAACCCATCCTGACATCTTGTTGTTATATATAAACACACAGACACGTGTACGTCCAAAACCCGCTCACTGACTTTGGTGGCCGTGAGCGGGAATCGAACTCGGGGTTCGCATAGCTCAGCGCGCTGACCGCTGCGCCACCGCTCCTCACATTCGCACGGTTGGCTACGTACGGTGCGAAAGAAGTTCAACACGAATTTCGATTTAAAGCTTTCGTGACTGCAGGGATTCATCTTCTTGGTTCTTTCGATAAAGTCACGTAGATGGGAAATAATAAAATAATAAAAATAAAACATAACAAACTATTTCTCGACAGACCTGTTCTTCACCTGAGGACGGCTGCTTGCGTTGTGGCCGAAACGTCGTGAGAATTATTTTATTATGTTTGATTTTTATTATTTTATTATGTTTTATTTTTATTATTTTATTATGTTTGATTTTTATTATTTTATTATGTTTTATTTTTATTATTTTATTATGTTTTATTTTTATTATTTTATTATGTTTGATTTTTATTATTTTATTATGTTTGATTTTTATTATTTTATTATGTTTGATTTTTATTATTTTATTATGTTTTATTTTTATTATTTTATTATGTTTTATTTTTATTATTTTATTATGTTTTATTTTTATTATTTTATTATTTCCCTTCTACGTGACTTTACCGAAAGAACCAAGAAGTTCAACACGACTTAGTGAAGCGGGAGGGGAGAGATGGGTGGGGGGCGATTGCACACTCCCTCCAAGACCTCCCTCATCACCCCGCCCCCCTCTTCCGCCGCAGCTCAGTGGCTCGGGGCCGCGGGGACCCGGACGGGGGGGGAGGGCCCCCCAGGCGAGGTGGCGAGGCCTCGGCGCACAACAGCGGCGGTGTGGCGGGGGGAGTCGCGCAGGCGCGGGAGGCCCTGGAGCAGCTCAAGCTGGAGGCCAACATCCAGCGTGTGAACGTGCGTACCCCCTGCCCCCCCCCCCCCAGGGCCATACAGGGCCCCCGCAGTACAAGGCATAGGCTGTGGGGGGGGGGTATTTGCAGGGGCGTTGATAGTGGGGGTGGCAGGGTGACCCCCCCCCCCCCCATCCAACTGTCTCACAAACCCCGCTAAGTTATATCGTATTTCATCCACGCACCCAGCCAACCATTCATTCACCCACTCGCATACTCACTCACGCAGCCACCCATTAATTCACACACTCACTCACCCAGCCACCCATTCATGAACCCACTCGGTCAACCACTCACGCAGCCACCAATTCATTCACCCACTCGCACACTCACTCACCCGGCCACCCATTCATTAACCCACTCGGTCAACCACTCACCCAGCCACCCATTAATTCACCCACTCAGTCAACCACTCACCCAGCCACCCATTAATTCACCCACTCAGTCAACCACTCACCCAGCCACCCATTAATTCACCCACTCAGTCAACCACTCACCCAGCCACCCATTCGTTCACCCACTCGCACACTCACTCACGCAGCCACCCATTAATTAACCCACTCAGCCAACCACTCAATCAGCCACCCATTCGTTCACCCACTCGCACACTCACTCACCCAGCCACCTATTCATTAACCCACTAAGTAAACCACTCACCCAGCCACCCATTCATTCACCCACTCGGTCAACCACTCACTCACCCAGCCACCCATTCATTCACACACTCACTCACCCAGCCACCCATTCATGAACTCACTCGATCAACCACTCACGCAGCCACCCATTCATTCACCCACTCAGTCAACCACTCATGCAGCCACCCATTCATTCATCCACTCACACACTCACTCACCCAGCCACCCATTCATTCACCCACTCGGTCAACCACTCACCCAGCCACCCATTCGTTCACCCACTCGCACACTCACCCAGCCACCCACTCAGTCACCCACTCAATCAGCCACTCATTCTTTCACCCAGCCACCCATTCATTAACCCACTCAGTCACCCACTCAATTAGCCACCCATTAATTGACCCACTCGCACACTCACTCAGGCACCTATTCGCTCACCCACCCACTCAGTCACCAGCTCGCTCACTCACCCACTCACTCATTCACCTACCCACTGACCCGACCCACTCACCCACCCACCTACTCACTCAGGCACCCATTCGCTCACCCACCCACTCAGTCGCCTGCTCACTCACCCACTCACTCATTCACCTACCCACTGACCCGACCGACCCACTCACTCACCCAGCCACTCACTCAGGCACCCATTCGCTCGCCCAGCCACTCAGTCACCCACTCACTCACCCACTCACTCATTCACCTACCCACTGACCCGACCGACACATTCACTCACCCACCCACTCACTCAGGTACCCATTCGCTCACCCACCCACTCAGTCACCAGCTCGCTCACTCACACACTCACTCATTCACCTACCCACTGACCCGACCCACTCACCCACCCACCTACTCACTCAGGCACCCATTCGCTCGCCCACCCACTCAGTCACCCACTCACTCACTCACCCACTCACTCAGTCACCCACTCACTCACCCACTCACTCAGTCACCCACTCACTCACCCACTCACTCACTCACCCACTCACTCACTCACCTACCCACTGACCCGACCCACCCACCCACAGGTGTCCAAGGCCGCTGCGGACCTCATGGAGTACTGCACCGCGCATGCGCAGGAGGACCCGATGCTCACGCCTGTGCCGTCCTCGGAGAATCCGTTCCGCGAGAAGAAGTTCTTCTGCTCCATCGTGTGACGTTGACCCTGCGACCCTTTGACCTTGACCCCTGGCACCGGGCAGCACGCGACCCTGACCCTAAAACTCCCAGCCTCCAATGCTGCGAATCTGACCCAAATGTCTGCCGTACCTCGCTTCCCTCGTCTCGTCACCATCTGACCGGGGAATTATCCGTAAATCGACACCTCCAACACTGAGATCCTAACCCCAGCACCAACCCGGACACTATGACCCTGACTCCATCAGCACTTTAACCCTCACCCTATATGTATCTATAACCGCTAACCACCAACCCCCACAACTCTAATATCCCCGCATTGTAGCCACATCCCTCTTACCGTGCAACACAGAACCCTCTCCCTGTGCCAAAACCCCAACCCCAAATCTTAACATTTTATAGCCACGCCTTCACACACCCCGCACCCATCAACTGAATCGCTGAAAACCTTGACTCTGAAACTCTGGGTCTGGTGACCTGCAAAACGTTTCCCGGCACACCAGGTCAATAATACAGTTAGTCCTCTACTTACGACGGAGATGTGTTACGACGACCCCATCGTAAGTCGAAAATATCGTAAGTCGAAGATGGCCTCGCCTACCCAGGAGTCTTTAAGAATGGTGATAATTTAGCAAAACAAAGAAATTTACAGTAGCGTACTGTATAAACTATATACTGTATGCATTTATTAATTACAATACTGTATTGCACAGTAAAATATAAAGTAAAAAAAAACAAGATACATTCTTAGCCTACCTATATGAACTGCAATTTAATAGAAAGTTGTTTCAGGAAACAATCCTATCTGCTATAAAAACATTTTTAACATACATTGAACGTATCGTATCGTGATAACCTTAAAATGAAATCGCTGAAGCTACGTATCATACACATGCATTGAACGTATCGTAACGTCTCATATTGTATTGTACTCACCAAGATTCTGTCCGTGGTCTGCATACTTGAACGATGTTAGGTTGTTGATGGCAATTTTGTTGTATCGCTATCGCCATCGTAAGATCGAAATATCGTAAGTCGGACCATCGTAACTCGGGGACTACCTGTATATCCGAATAAAAAGATGTCCAGTAGTTTCCCAGATGTCCAACAGTAGTATATACTGTAGTAGGGTTTTACCCTTTCAACTGGTACAAAAACTGACACCTTTATACAAGGCATCATGTTTGCAATAACCACAACACAAGCAGTCAAATGCAAACAAAAAGAAACAACTCTGATGATGATAATGATATATCATTATCAGAGTTGTTTCTTTTTGTTTGATATATAATTATCATCATCAGAGTTGTTTCTTTTTGTTTGCATTTTGACTGCTTGTGTTGTGGTTATTGCAAACATGATGCCTTGTATAAAGGTGTCAGTTTTTGTACCAGTTGAAAGGGTAAAAACCTACTGCTATATTTTGCCACTGGTAAAGGAGATGTCTCATAGCGGTCGGGAACCTATGGCTCGCGAGCCATATATGGCTCTTTCGGTGACGGCATATGGCTCCCAGACAATTTTGAGTTGAAAAAAATAAAGATAAAAAAATAAAAATAAAATCAGTTTGGAACTTATTTTAAAATACTTGTGATATTGCTTAATAATAGTGTGTCATTTTAAAGTAAACAGAAATTAGTTTTGAAGATAAAATTTCTCGGGTCACGCCTGCACGAAGCTCAACCTCACCACGTCGTATGAACCAGACTACTACAAGGCCATCAGCAAAACCATGCAGCACCAGAAGTTGCATTAAAAGTAAGACATTTGATTTATTATACGTTAAAAATTACTATATGGCTCTCAATGCAATATATTTAGAAATATTTGGCTTTTATGGCTCTCCCAGTCAAAAAGGTTCCCGACCCCTGGAGTAGTATATACTGTTTCTCGCTGTGGCTACTCGTGGTCATGTGCCCCGTCCAGTACTTTCCGTTGGCCCGTAATCTCGAGTTAGAGAGGGATTATCAGAATCGGTTTTTAGACTGGAAGAATCAGACGTCCGGCAGAGGCGGGTCAGAACGTTACAACAAACAAACAACACAACACACACGACATCTCAATTGCCTTTTACTGTATTGTTATTGTATGGGTGGTAAAGTTTAACTAAATTAATAAAGCGCACTTTTTTTTAAAGTGACATTCATCTCTTGAAATGTTTTTTTGTTACGAATGAATTTGCCTTGGGGTAAAGTTTACGACGGAAAACCTCTGCGTTCATGCGAATACTGCATATATTTGTAGGTTTCATGAACGATTACAAAGATCACCCGTATCGCATTCTTTTTTATCAGACTGTTGGGGTAAGTGCTGTGAGCGAGCACACGAGGGGGTCCGTGGCTAGCGCCACGCCCGACCGCCTCTGTCTCTCCCAGTGGCGATGTTTACACACCGCACAAAGTACCCATTTGAGGCTGAGCCGACCTACATGAGGCCCAGGACTGGTCCAGATCATCGTTATTGGTGTCGGTGGTGGCCGCGAGCGGGAATCGAACTCGGGTCGCCGGGTTTCGTAGCGCAGCGCCACGCACATCTCCATTGAAAACTCATTTCTTTAGAACTGCTTTTTTTTCTCTTCTGTACGTTCGTTTGCTGTCCTCCCCTCGCACCTCCGATTAGCCGCGGTTGGCTACGTACGGCGCGAAAGAAGTTCAACAACAACAACTGCCATTCGTCACTAAGTGGCGGTGACGTCACCACGACGCTTGTGCCAGGCCATGTGCACCTTGAGGCCACGTGAAGTGTCGAACGCCCGCTGGCAGGAGGTCACGGGGCAAACCCAGGTGCCACGGGTCGACTGACTGAGATGACCGAGATGACCGGCTGATGCACCACCTGTGCCCCCTACTGTGCCAACTTGCTGTGCTTTAGCCACCCTGCGCTCCGCTCGTTGTTGTGAGCGTCGCTCCTCCGCCCTCCGTTGTTGTTGGAGGGCGACTTCCTCCAACTGCCCAGTAGCGTCCTTCACGAGCCTCCTCCACAGAGGCCGATTATGACACCGCTGGTACCAGTCATCGGCAAATCCACTCACACACGCGCGCACATACAACGTGTGCCCCCCTGAACGCTCACGCGTGATCCCCGCAGTCACCAGCGGCGGCTACATTCACAACGGAGTCGACTCAGTGCCGGATGAAGCTAGTGCGAGGCCTGTAGCATATGTTATGAAGGGGCCCTAAAGTTAAACAAAAACTTAAATATTATAACACAATCTTTTTTACTTGCATAGTAAAGTTATCGTATTTTTAAATTTGCTATGCAGCCAGATAATATGACAAATCGCTAAGCGTAAACACCCATTCGTTTATAAAAGTTGAAGGCGGTATAGTACTATAGTAATAGAGCAAGCGCAGAATCACCGAACCGGGATTGATAGCTTGAAAGCATTTAGCGCGGGGCCCTTGAAAGTGCGGGGCCCGTAGCTACTACAACATACGTAGTAGCTACTACGTATGTAGTAGTAGCTACTAAATATGTAATAGCTACTACATATGTCGAAGCTACTACTAGCTACTTTTGCTACGAGGATCATCCGGCACTGCGTCGACTAGCGATGCCACCAGAGGGCAGTCCAACGCCAGAGACAACACAACAAAGGTCCCCCACGCGACTCCCAGCCGCACACTCACCATCGTGTTGAACAGTGGCGCGTGTGTGTCTGTGTGTGTTTCCTCGAGGCGGATTGCTCGCAACTTTAGTGGCGTGATAAGGGGCCGTCCATAAATGACGTCACGCACCTAGGGATGGGGGGGGGGGTCAGACATTTGTGACGATGTGTGACGAGGGGAGGGGGGGTTGAGAAATGTGACGTCACATCAAAATACGCAACTTTAAATAAATATAGAATTGTTATAACAACACTCCTACAACATCAGAGTGCAGCGCCACATTTAATACGCACTATCGACTCTGCACGTGGTTGGGGATTCTCGGTGAGACCCACTTGTGAGTCGGCCAGGCTTGGGCCGCTCTTTAAGGGCTGTGGTGGCGGATTATTTTTGGGAAAAAAAATGGTTCTTCTTGTTATGCTTCGTTGCCGACCCCTGACCGTGGAATTCCAGTTCACCGTGGGAGTCCAGTTCACTATGGAAGTCCAGTTCACCATGGAAGTCCAGTTCACCATGGAAGTCCAGTTTACCATGAAAGTCCAGTTTACCATGGAAGTCCAATTCACCATGGAAGTCCAGTTTTCCATGGAAGTCCAGTTCACCATGGAAGTCCAGTTCACCATGGAAGTCCAGTTTTCCATGGAAGTCCAGTTCACCATGGAAGTCCAGTTCACCATGGAAGTCCAGTTTTCCATGGAAGTCCAGTTCACCATGGAAGTCCAGTTCACCATGGAAGTCCAGTTTACCATGGAAGTCCAGTTCACTATGGAAGTCCAGTTCACCATGGAAGTCCAGTTCACCATGGAAGTCCAGTTTTCCATGGAAGTCCAGTTCACCATGGAAGTCCAGTTCACCATGGAAGTCCAGTTTACCATGGAAGTCCAGTTCACTATGGAAGTCCAGTTTACCATGAAAGTCCAGTTTACCATGGAAGTCCAATTCACCATGTAAGTCCAGTTTTCCATGGAAGTCCAGTTCACCATGGAAGTCCAGTTCACCATGGAAGTCCAGTTTTCCATGGAAGTCCAGTTCACCATGGAAGTCCAGTTCACCATGGAAGTCCAGTTTTCCATGGAAGTCCAGTTCACCATGGAAGTCCAGTTCACCATGGAAGTCCAGTTTACCATGGAAGTCCAGTTCACTATGGAAGTCCAGTTCACCATGGAAGTCCAGTTTTCCATGGAAGTCCAGTTCACCATGGAAGTCCAGTTCACCATGGAAGTCCAGTTTTCCATGGAAGTCCAGTTCACCATGGAAGTCCAGTTCACCATGGAAGTCCAGTTTACCATGGAAGTCCAGTTCACCATGGAAGTCCAGTTCACCATGGAAGTCCAGTTTACTATGGAAGTCCAGTGCACCATGGGAGTCCAGTTTACCATGGAAGTCCAGTTCACCATGGAAGTCCAGTGCACCATGGGAGTCCAGTTTACCATGGAAGTCCAGTTCACCGTGAAAGTCCAGTTCACCATGGAAGTCCAGTTTACCATGAAAGTCCAGTTCACCATGGAAGTCCAATTCACTATGGGAGTCCAGTTCACCGTGAAAGTCCAGTTTACCATGGGAGTCCAGTTTACCATGGAAGTCCAGTTTACCATGGAAGTCCAGTTCACTATGGAAGTCCAGTTCACCATGGAAGTCCAGTTTTCCATGGAAGTCCAGTTCACCATGGAAGTCCAGTTCACCATGGAAGTCCAGTTTTCCATGGAAGTCCAGTTCACCATGGAAGTCCAGTTCACCATGGAAGTCCAGTTCACCATGGGAGTCCAGTTCACTATGGAAGTCCAGTTCACCATGAAAGTCCAGTTCACCATGGGAGTCCAGTTTACCATGGGCCAGGGGTCGACAACCTGCCACCCCGGAGCCGCATGTGGCCCATGAACGACTGTTTTCTCACAGTTCTTTATTCAGGAGCCATCGTCTCGTATTCACCGCGTGTGTGCATTGTGCCTCTTGCAATATTGGTGGTTTATCATTTTTTTTTACCAAATTCTC